CAACACATCTGGAAGGCCTTGATTGGGGAAAGGCTGCTATAGAGCTTTCATCTAATCTTTAAGTTGGAAGAGCCTTTATTAGATTCATTATTCTCGAAAGCTAAATTTGCCATTAGAGTTGAGCCCTTTATCTATGTTGTCCATATAGTTTCTTATAAATGTACTCTTTTTGTAGTTGCAGTACAGGCAAGGTTAAAAAAAAAACTCTTTTCTTAAGAATTAATATGTGGGTGGGGTAGAAAATGAATGTGCCCTTTTTAACCTTGCCATGTTTGCCTCAGGGAAGCTTCTGCCTTCAGCTTCTGTCCTCATTAATTTGAGCTACTTTGTTTTAGAGTACAAGGTGTTGATATACTTCAGAGGATTATATATTGCTTGTATGGTAGTAGGGGAAAAAAAACAATTGTACTGAAGGTCTTACTGCATGTATAGTAAAAATGAAAAAAAGAACAAATAATGCTTTGGGAACAAATATAAAATCAGGAGATTTCCTAATCATGCAAGTAGCAGTATAGTAATGTATTGGTTGCTCTGCATTATTGGAGTGAAAACTGTAGAATTCATAGTACAGTGCAATGCTTAGCGAATTAATTTTTCTGTAAATTAAATTGTTGGTCTGTTATCCTCTGCGTAATCTAGGTGCCTGTGTCCAATGCAAGCAGAACAGAGATTGCTTATACAGCAGTGGGGTGGAGGTTACTTTGTAACAAACTCTGTATGCAGTTGCAAAAACTCTGGACATCACTAGAACACATGAAAACAGGATGTTGTCCTTTATCAGAACTGGGTGTTGAACGAATTCATGTGAACTGCCTCTTGTTTGAGACAGTTTCTTTATGGTTTTGCTATTTGTTCCCTTTAAGTTTGCATAAATTGTGGCCTTACTGTTGTCAGAGTAAGGAAGCTTATCACTTGTTATGGTCTCCCAAGAGCTTTCATAAAAATGTTAAAACTTGATTGTTATATAATCAATGCACCATACCGTGTTTACTTAAGACAGGCAATATAAAACAGGTGCAGTTTTCCACTTGCTTCTTAGTTGCACTTACCAGAGCAAGCAAAAATAAATTGTTTTAAGACTTGGAACTTTTAGGTACTCTAAGGTAATATAAAGCAAGCTTCTGAAACAGAGCTGTGTTGCTTCATACACTGATAGAATCCAGTTTCCATTATTTGATCCTTGGCCATGCTGGCTAGAGTTGATGAGAGTTAAAAAAATGCTTTGAGGGCCACACATTCCCTAGCTGTGCTAAAATGTTCACTTCCTTTGGAAGGGGCTTCCAGATAAGGAGCCCCAAAAATGACCTCAGGGTCTAAGTAGGTACATATGGGTCAATATGCACATAACCTGCACTTGATTTTTTTTTCTATTTATTTCTATTCATTTTTAGCCAAGATTCTGTAGATGGTTAAGATAAAATTAACTTAAAACAACCCTCAAGTGATTGCAATTGAATCAGCATGGAAGCATAGCAGTGGTACAGAATAAAATCTGATATTAAAATTGAAGTTGAAAAATTAAACTGTTAAAATGCTGAGGGAATGAAAAAGTCTTCACTTGGTGCTGAACAGAGTACAAAGTAAGTTCCAAGCACATTTCTTTGGGGAGCTCATTCCACAACTGTGGTGTCACAACCACAAAGGTCCTCCTCCTGGTAGCCACCCACTCTACCTCCTTTGGAAGGGGCTCCTGAAGAAGGACCCCTGAAGATGACCTCAAGGTCTGGGTGGATGTAACGGTGAGGCAACACACCACCACCGACACTGCCGGGAGATTCCCCGCCTCCTGGCAGTCCGTAGGGCCAGCAAAGCACAACCTCTGCCCTTGGCAAGGGAAATGGCACTGGACTAGGACACAGTGACCCACGTCTTGGGGAAAAGGAACTTTGTTAAGCTACAACACACACGCCATCCATACAGAAAAATAAAACAACTTCAACTACATGAGGAGAAGGGGAAGGAGAAAGGGAGAGAGAAGTAGGAGAGCAGCTTTTAGTCAATAGAGTACAATTGCAGATATTCGCCCCCATTGGGTCTTTTGACCACCCCAGACCCTAAAATAACAAACACTAGCTAGTCTAAAACCTAATATCTCCCACTGTACCTAACCCATCTTCTCAAGAGTAATGGCCCCAAACTCCAGGGCCTCATGCATCTGGCAGCCGGCATTCCTCCTCCTACCCCAGAAGCATGTGTGGCCTGGTCTCCAAGCCCTCCTTTTATTCCTCCCTGAGCAATCAGAATCCTTTGTTCTCTGGCATGACATCGAACAATCTAAGCCATTTGCCCTCTAAGGGAACACTAGCCAATCAGGACCATTTGATCCATGGGGTGTCATCTCCGGCATCTCCAACTGGGATCCTCCCCTGGGAAGGTTGTGAAAATCCTTGAAAATCTCCAGACTTTCAGTTGTTTTTCTCTCTTGGCCTGCTTGTCCTTAAAGTGGCCACCTGTGCCTGGCCTGCTTGCTATATCCCTTAACCCTTTCTTCTTCCTCTGCGGCTTAAGGCCCTTTCTGTTCCAGTGGGTATGTATTGAATTAGGCGATCCTTCAGATAACCTGGCCCAAGGGCTGTGAATGTTAGGTCTGCATAATCTATTTCATTCAGTAGTGCCTGGAGTGTTCAGCCACCACCTGCTCAAGCAACTTGCCCCAGAAGGTGATGTTGGCCACTGGCTGATAGTTGTTAACATCCTCTGGGTCCAGGTGTGACTTAATTAAGTCTCTTTTAAAGAGGCTGGCACCACACCCTCTCTCAAGGAGGCATCACAGCCTCTTGGACCCAGGTAGAAATTCTTTCCTTAATTGTTGTAATGAGCCATGGGAACAAAGGTGATAAGTGGTGGACTGGACTTGACCAGGAACAATGTCTGTATCCTCAGGCTTTAATAGCTGAAGCTCATCCAACAGAACTATCCCAGGCAGTACTCTGGATGCCTTTGCTGGTGGAACTGCTTTAACTGTGGTATCGCATTCAATTTGAATTCAAGAAATTTTGTCAAATTCATAACAGCGAGCTACTGAGGGCTCCACAATTTCCATAATATAGCAGGCTCCTGTGGATGATTCTGAGAAGATGCAGCACTGGTGGAAAATAATTCCCTCTGTGTCACCCTTCCTGCCACACAGTAGGCTTGATAATGAGCTCTAACCCATGTTTGATCAGAGTCAATTCTGACTTTTCCACCTGTGCTCTAGCTTTCTCTCATCTTGCTTCATTGCCCCCAACTCAGGTGTCTACCAAGGAGCTGGCCAAGCTTTGCTTAAGAGGGCACTTAGGTGCAGTTGTGTCGACCACCCGAGTCATTTCTGCATCCCCCAGTATGACCAGGGCTTCAACAGAAACACCAGCCATACCAGCTGGAACCTCCCCCAGAGCCCTCTTGAAACCACCAGGCTCCATGAACCTCTGTGGGGAGACTACTTAAGAAGGTTCCCCTGCCTTGAAAAGAGGAAAAGATGTAGAAAGTGTAAACCTCAGTAGGAAGTGATCTAAGCCCAGTGGCAAGGGGGTTAATACTAATCCCCCCACTTCCAGATCATCGTCCTCCTGCCCAGTTGAGATAAGCAGATCAAGAGTGTGTCCTTTTACATGTGTTGGGTCAATAACATGTTCAGACACCCCCATGGTTCTCATGGAAACCATGAATTCCTGAGCCACCCAGGATGCAGCAGCCTTGGCATTAAGATCTCCCGGAACCATCATACTGGAGGTCCTCAACACCAAGTCCAAGACCACTGCTGTCAGCTCACTCAATTTTACGCTAGAGAAAATACATGCATCTCTGAATTGGATTGAGCTGGCCCTGCAGTGTGGGAGAGAATAACTTTCAAATATTCTGCACCACATCTGAGAAAAAGTGAAACCTGCTCCAGCCCCAAATAACAGTGGAAAGGTTTAATCCTCTCCTGGTACACAGTGTTCCTGATCCAAATTGCCACATGTACTTACTCTGAAGCAAAAAGGAAAAAAAGGTATGCTATATAATAAGCATCATGTGTAGATTGACCCTAAGTCAGCACTGTGGGCACACCATTTAACATAAAATTTGTTTAATTTTTGTCCAGGCAAAACCACTCCATACCAATGATTACCTGAGCAGAGAGACTCTTCCAATGGCATGAAAACTTACAGAGTTTTGCCAGAGTCAGCTTATGGGTTTTTCCATAAGACAGCTCCATATTTCCACTGGCCCTTTGGGAACACATCTCAGTGAGTCTGCCTGCTTAATGCCATTGCCACCAGCTGCTGTAACTCCTCATCTTCTTTCTTATTATTACAGCACTTGCTTGGTCAAAAGGCAGAGAGGCGGTAGAGTAGCATCTGCTCCTCCACTACTGTTGTCTGAACAAAAGCAAGAGTGAACAAGCAAGTCGCAATGGTGAAGAAGAGGTTGAAGTCCAGAGAGTTGTAGTCATTTGTTGCTGGTTGCTACTGGGTTGCTACCCTTGGCAGGTGCCCAACCATGTCTGTCTTTGAGACCAGCCCTGATGTATTTCATATGTACCTTCTCATGGACAAATGAAGTCCTTGTGAAAGACAGTGAGCAGATGAAATATTTAAAGGAAACTTCTTCGACATGGTGTCCCCTGGATGTATTGGCTTGCACAGTTCTAAAGGAAGCACTTTAGGTCCTCTCTGCTACTATTTACACCAGCAGAGAGGGCATTAAAGTCATAAGCCTTAATTCATGCATGAGTGAGACACAAGATGAGTGAGACACAAGATGAAGCCCAGGAGTAGTTAGTCTGCCCCCCATTAAAGCCATCACCAAATAATTTAGGATTTGTAAACCCCAACCTTTAATGTCTAATGTCTGCCAATTGGATCCCACTTTCATTCTCATTTATTCCTTTTGCATTCCCTATACATCTCAACTATAAGATGTTATTCCCAATTGACATATTCTATTGTTTAATTTTCAGGAACTGGTACATTTGGACGGGTTCATCTGGTGAAAGAAAAATCAGCCAAATGCTACTTTGCATTGAAAGTAATGAGCATTCCTGATGTCATTCGGCTAAAACAAGAACAGCATGTGCACAATGAAAAATCGGTCTTGAAAGAAGTGAATCATCCATTTCTTATCAGACTGTAAGCTTCTCCCAATGTTCAGTTTTCATTTTATTTTGTTGAATTGTGGCATTCATTCAGACTCATGTTGCAGTGGATTAATCCCAAGTCCTTTGGGTGGCAAAATATTTTTCTTTTTCTTTTCAAGGAATTCATCCATATGGGATGTTTCAGAAAATGCATTTGAAGAACTGCTCATTGGAGTATGTATAATGTGATGCAGAAGTTGTGTCTGTCACTTGGCTTCTGAGATGAGACAACACAATAACCTGTGCTTGTTGAAATATGGGATTTCATGTTGTCTGAAACCAGGCATATTAACAAAGCATGATCTTAACAAACCACATGGCTTATTTCAGGGTTGAGAACTATGGGTTGTTCACAGTTAATAAACCATGGTTTGTTAGTGCAGTTGTCTGAACCCAGCCATTGTGTGTATTTTTTCACTGCAAAGTGCATATTTGTCTTTTCCCTTATGGCTGTTCTCAAACTGCCCCACACCTGAAATGCTACTGATTTATTCAAGTAGTGCTAGAAAGCAAATATGAGAGTTATTTACATATTGATGGAAATTTCCTCCCATCAAAGCAGAAAGGCTGCTGTTGGTATTAATAATATGGATCTCATGCTCCAATAATTCCAAAGAAATCTATTCTTTGTGGAGATGTATATATCTGGTCCGTGTGTTTCAGTGACCTGGTTCATGCTTAGCAATGGATTTGTATGTTTGTTTGCTTGTTTTAAATGCTGGGTTGTCATGAATGAACCATAGTTCGTACTGCTGGGTTGACCCTGTCTGGATCCTCCCACCAGCTGGGGAGTTTAGCATGGCATCCTAACCTAGAATTTTCTGTTGCCTCTCTCCAACAAGCCAGAATGAGAATCCAGGAAGTATTTCTTCATTGCTTAGTCAGTTGCATTGGCTGGAGGAGAAAATTTGGAGCAACGAAGCACTGTGAACTAGCATGATGGCTCATTCAGACCAAATCAGGGTTTGTTTGTTTTTTTTTTAAGGAAACTGATCATTGTGCGCCAGCCTGTGCTGGGTCAGAACATTAAAATGTCATCAGATTCCTTTTACTTCAGCTTTCTCTTTGCTGTCTCACTTGTGCGTCTTTCTCAGACATTAGGCTTGTGTCTCCAGTTACTATTCTTTGAACAGAAGGACTACTTTAATCATGCCAGAGACTTCAATCCAGCAGGTGCTTGTGCTGGCAGAAGGAGGGATGATGATTTTTGCCAGTGCTTCCATGCCCCAGTGCTACATCCCACACTAATCAGTTGTTGTTGTTTTTTTTAATATTTCATAGGGGATTGTAGTGGGAAGGATGGATCTGTTGAAAAATTGGCTTCCTCTCTTCTGCCAGTGAGGTTCTGTTTTTCGGAATCAATGATACATTGCATGTATTGATCTCCATTAGCTCTTTTTGCAATGCGACATAGTTTTCTTCGTTTTTGTAAAGGGAATTAGATATACCCAAGAACTTGGATACTTTTTGATAAGTCTCTGAAAATCATACTCTCAGTTTATGTCATGTCTACTTCTGTCCTTCCCAGTGTGAATATACCAGCTTCTGTTGGGAAAGAAAAAAAATATTTTTTTCCTACAGGTTGGAAATTACATAGTGTTTATGCTTTAAAAATGTTAGGATTCACTAGAGCATTTGCTGCAAGTTACATGCTGCATGAAATCTGTTCCTGTATATGCTTTATTGCTTGTTTTGAATATCTTGTGGCAATGGGTGGGGCAATGCACACCACCGGAAATGTCAGCATTTCACAAATTAAGGTAGAGAGAGGGAGGGAGGGGTGTGGGTACATATTGCAAAAGTAATTTCAACATAACGAGATTGCTTTCTGATAAGTTAAAAGGGAGGAAGAGAACAAAGAAAAGCATGTTCAATAAAAACTGCTCTTTCCTGTTCCGTAAATTAATGCTAGTACACCAAAAAAAACCACACACACAAAAAAAAAAACACTTGAAGAATGAATTTATTTTTTATGTCATTGAAAAGAGTTTGAGGCCACCTTTAAGAGTGTTAAAAAACCCTCTCATGCATATGTATAGGTGATATTTTTGAACTCTCAATCAGTTTGTCATGGCAACTTGTTCAAGAATTATAGCTGAGATCATACTGAAAAGGTACATAAAAAGCATAGTAGAGAAGCTATAGGATTGAATGCAGTGGTTGTTTTATGGACAATATGTGGCCCCTTTCAGACATTATAAGTCTCAGCACCCATTTTCCCTGACCCTTGGCCATCTTGACTTGTATTGATGAGAACTGATGAATCCAACTGATACATCCAACGACATCTACAGGAATTCAAACTACCCACTTCTGTGCTAGTAGAAATCACTTCCATTTAAACTTGAAGCTAAAAGAACAGTTAGAGTTTTTACACATCTTTAAAGCTTCACCCTTATTTCTGGTCATAAAAACACAAATTCATCCATTACCTTCAGCAATTACCTTCGGCATGATGTGTTATATTTATTAACGGTAGCATTTCATACAGTGAAACTAAGCATCTATGTTTCTGCACTTTTATGCTTTTTATGCTTTGTTAAAAAATGTTTCTAAAAGCTACATGATGGGCTTCGTCTAAGGATGGCTTTGCACTAGCAGAAAACATTTTTGCAGGGCATTTGCCTATCCACTGCAGCTTTCTGTGCTTCTGAAATACTGCTCCTGATTCTTGGAAGATGTGCATGCCTCACAATGCAAAAACACAAAGATTTTCTGTTAGGATGAATCTTCTTTATGTATGTATGTATGTATGTATTTATTTATTTATTTTAAAACATTTGTAAACCACTGTCCAACATAACAGATAGCAAGATGTTTTAAAGATATAATCAATACAGTAAAACAATGACACAGATAACAAAATATTCAAAAGTCACTGAAGCCATTTTTAAGAATCATATTTTTATTAAAGCTATGTAATAATTCTAACACTTTAGTGTTAAGAAAATTAACTTACACTCTAAGCTTCACACATCACCTCATATTCCTGCTGATACACAATGCAAGTTTTTACTGTATGTATTTATTACTTAACTATTTATATGCAAAATAATCACAGTTGCTTATTAAAAACAAGCAATTATAATGCATACAATAAAACTGTTAAGCACTGAAATATATAAAAGCATCATTACAGCACTTGGCAAAGATAAAACAAATTAGAGCTGGGACAGATTTTTCTACAAGTCCTTTTTAAAAGTATTTGGGCACTGAAATGAGAACAGTGTAATAGCATAAGGGTGGGCAAACTCTGGACTTGCAGAATCTTGTGGATATCGACCAGAACTTCTAAGAGCCCATAAACCAGAACCTGGTGCAAAAGGACAAAACAAAAGCCCGCTTCAGGCATTTCTCTTACTCCTTTCACTGGACATGTGAAGAGAGGAGCAGGAAGCAGATACGTTTACCCACTTCCAGTAGAAGATGCAGTGTGTAGGTTTGTTGTATTCCATAGAAAAGCTTATTATGGTCTGCTGGATCTTGCATCAGATCAAGAGGTAAACTTGATGGATGATAATTATGATCTAGCACATCCAAGATCCAATATGCTTTCCTCCACTCTTTACTATAACAACAGTAGAGCAAAATAAGGGGGAGAGATGGATCAAACCTATCAATAGCAAGCCTTATTCACTGCTGCCATGAGCTCTTCAGGGAGTGCCATACTGGAAAAGTTTAACATTTTTTAAATGGCATGATGTCCGTTGAAGAGGTCCACCTGGTTGATTAGGACTATTCCATTAGCTATTCTGTCTTGGTCAGCAGTCTCCTGTTCCATTTAGTTTTTCCTTTTTTATCTGGTACTTCTTCTGTGGTGCCAATTACATAGGCTCAGGGAGATTAACCCATTGTGCCCAGTGGGCAGAATTTGCCCCTCTCCAGACCAACCTGAAAAATTCAGAGATACTGTGTACCTGTTCACTGCAAACTTCCTTGCTCCTTTGGTGTGTACCTATGAGTAGCTCCCTTTCATTGGCAAACTGCCCACCCTGCACCACTCCGCAAGTATTCTTAGGTCTGGTCCTGGAGCATCTACAAATTGATAAATTACTTTAGAGTCTCTAACGGCTTAGGTGATAGAGCAGATTTCCACACAACTGCTGGTATGAGGTATGAGTTGAAAGTATGCTATGCTACACATCCCATTTGAATATGGTAAGCTTTGTTTCATGTCTATATTTCAGGCCCTTGAAACATATTTCAATATTATACATTACTAGTAAGTTATTAAATAATGGTTTTCAACTTGTGTACATCTTTCTTTGCAGATTTTGGACCTACCATGATGAACGCTTTCTATATATGTTGATGGAATATGTACCTGGTGGTGAACTTTTTAGTTATCTACGCAACATGGGACGCTTTAATAACAGCACTGGACTGTTTTACTCTGCAGAGATTATTTGTGCAATAGATTATCTCCATTCAAAAGAAATTGTTTACAGAGACTTAAAGCCTGAAAATATTTTATTAGACAAAGAGGGGCATATCAAACTTACAGACTTTGGATTTGCTAAAAAGCTAGTTGATAGGTAAGTTCTTTCTGTACTGTCCTTCAAATATAATTTTACCAAAACAAGCACACAAAACCAACACAAACACACGAAAGCAAAAAGAAGAAAAGCATTGCAGGCAGCAAAATGTTCAATGGCAAAAAAGTTAACAACAGATAAAACAGCATCCATCCAAATTATATCAAAGATTAAAGTTATTTATCAACTAGTAATAGAAAGGTAGCAATATATATGCTATACAAAAATCTTTTATCTTTGTGGTCTCTGTGCATCACACAGGTGGGCTTGCACCTTCACAGAGTCTATTGTTGAGAAGTGTCTATAGCTAAGCATTCATTTTGGGTAAGAGCCTCTTCCCTTCCTGTTTCCAGGAAGTGTGTGGAGAGGTCCCTGCCCCTCCCCTCAGTTCCATTTGGCTGCCATTGCTCCTAGATTTGGAAAAACTTTGCTCTACTCTGCATATATAATGCAATCTTTTTCTCTCATTGATTACCTGTAACTGTTGTTCTTCAAGTGGTCATCTGTGCATTCACACAACCTGCCCTCTAGTCCCACTTGCTATATCCTCTCCACTGCCACCCTTATTCTCCAAGGACACTTGAGGCCAGACCAGGTTGGTGTTTCTTTCTATGCTCCCCTCAGTCCAGAGATCCATGGTTGTCTCTCTAGGAGGGGGGAACCCAAACAAAGGTTGGTTGAGAGGTTTGGCCGTGCATAGTTCACAGCAAGGAATAACAAATGCATTGAGTGAAAGGGGTTACCCATCTGTGCATCTGCTTTGGGTAACACTTCTGATAAACACTGACCATCCAAGTGCAGAGTCTTGTTCTACATTCCAAACTGCACAGATTGGAGGAAATGGTACTTGGATCATAATACAGCTATGCATTACATGCTGGACAAATCGGTATATGGAACTATGTATGAACTTGAGCATCGGCATTGTTGCTGTGTACCCACCTATGAGCAAAACAGAGTATTAGAGAACACATATTGCATATAATGATTTCTGGGGTCATTCCTTGAAAGTTAATTTATCTCAAGTGGCAGGAGCTCTCCCTGGGATCTTGTAGAATTGCTGCCATTTAAGATAAACATTGCTGGAATAAATTGAGCATTTGTTTGACTCAGGATAAGACAAACACATACTTTATTTCCACATGAAGACACATCTGCTTAAGAGGGATACATTGATATTCATCAACTACTGTCTAATCAGCTAATCAGCTGTCACCCTCCCTTTTACTCCCTGCTCCACGGATGTTGGTAAGAGGTATCTTTTCATCTTGAGCAAAATTGTTCCTCCTTAAGTTGTTGTTATTTTAAGTGTTGCTAGGGCCTACAAATTACCAAATATTCTAACCTTGTTTAAAATGGCTTAACTGGCATGCCAAGCACTCCTGTTTACAAAGACAATATTTACTATGAGTTGTATGTAATTTTGAAGTTACTTTGAAGAAATAATAGAAAATAAGGGGATAATAAAGGAATTATTGTAGCCTATACAATAATTTTTATAATCTGCACATCAAGAACAAAGTCCATATTTCAATAATATATGATAACAAGAATCAACAGGCAGCTACCTCTGTGTTATCTGTCCTTTCAGGAGTAGCCATTTATTCATGTATCCTCTTCTCCTGCACAGTTCCTGTGGGTTTGTGTGATTTTCTGGGGAGTGTAGACAGATGAAGTGGGAGGAGAGATGACTAAAGAGCAGTTGGTGTTTGACTCATGCTAATGATAACAGATTGAGCACATCAATTTGTTTTTAAAGGGTCTCAATGCCTCTGCGTTTGCAGAAACAATAAAGGCTGGCCACTTCGCTGCAATTAAACATGTGAAATATTATCCATCAGTTGCATTCCAGGTTATGAATGGCCAGACAAACCTGGCATGTCTTTGCCTGGAGGTTAAATCATTGACAGTCCATTGTGATATTTGCAAGCTGCAACTGCAATCCTACACAGCCCTACTAAAGCGACCAGATGCAATGTGAACAAGCCTAAGGTTGCTCTATGAATCACTTTTATGTGGCTTGGTTTCAGATTGCTGGTTGACACATAGGCTGAAGGGTATCATACAAACAGTTCACAACACATTTGCAGCTCTCTGAGCCCACCTTTACAACAGTCTCAGCCGAGTGTCACATCTCCTCGCTCATGTGCTCATTATTGCCACTTCCATGTGGGGGAAGTTCATAAAGTGCCTTGCAAGTAGGTGTCTGAAACAGAAACACAGCATCCTCTCCTCTCAGTTACCAAGCTGCTGAACATTCAGAAAACCCAGTAGCAGAGGGCAAGAGCCACCTGTGACAGTTTGCTCATAAAAATGGCCCCATAGTACTGTGATAGCTCTTAAGCTGTCTGCCTGCAACAGTTGCCAGCTCCAGATTGAATAAATTTAGTTCAGTATGACTTTCTGAGATTGTAGCTATGTTGTAGAATATATAGGACATTAAAATTATGCTGGGTTTTATTTTTGATAAGCTGCTCTGATAAAGGATTGTTCTTGAAATTCATGCTGTAAAATGAATACAAACTGGGGAAAACTGGATTATCTACTGACTGAGGAATACAGTACATCTTAGACAAAGAGGAATGCCAGACATCTTCAGTTCTGTTGTAGTTTGGCCCTTATTTAAAACAAACATTCCAACATCAAGTCTGAATTTGAATTCCCCATCCTTTTGCAAGCTTCCCTCTTGGTAAAAAGTTGTTGGAGTAGTAGTTGTTTATGTGACATCAGACACACCTGGATACATGAAGCAACATGAATGGCATTGGGATGCTGAGAATGCATAGTTGTTTATTTAATTTTCCTATGATACCAGTCATGCAGTCGTGGTTACCCAGTGTCTGCCATGGTGGCAGATTGGGTACAGGTCAGCTGATTAAATCTGAGATAATGTGGTTTGCCAGGTCTGGTGACTTGGAGTCGTCACTTAGTTCTCCTGATGGCTTAACAGAGAACACATTGCTCATACACTACTGTGTGTACAGGCTCCTTTAATCTGTTGGTGTAAAACAAAACACAGCAGTATGCACTACTTGGTCATATTTCACTTAGATGTTGCTGCCTCTCTATGTATGTTGCCAATTTTTAAGGTGCGTTAACAAAAATCCTTAAATTTAGCAAGATGAATATGGGACCGCATGGTGCTTGTTTAACCATCCTCTGACAAGATGGATGAGAGGAGCCCCAGCTTTCCCTCCTTAGTTTAGAGCCAGATAGGAAGTGCAGATTGTCTTTACAGTTGTGTGGAGTTTCAGGGGGTTTGGTGAGCCCCATGCCTACCCCTGTCCAGATACTAGTGAGAGAGGAAAGTTGGAGGCTGAATTGGCTAGCAGGAAAACGAGGCCCTACTTCCTTTCACAGTTTCTGCAGTTCTATAGGCCATATGTGTAAATGTGATGGTGTTTCAGCTCTGAAATTACACTCTCCAGAGAGAAAGGGAACGCACCAACATTTCAAGCTTTCTGTTGCCCAATTAAACCATTCTATTTGCAATATTATTTTTAAGGCACATATCAGGGTTTGTTGTTCTAAAGCCTTTTGCTGCTGTTCACGTAATTGTGGCTAAGCATATTGCTTTATGCTATTTGTGCTTTGCTTAAATAATTTTATGCCTATTGTACCTTGAATCCATTGGGTGAATGGCTATTTAGAGCTATTTTAAGTAAATCATTAAAGTTGGATACAAAATTAAAAACCTTTGAAGAGCAGACAGCCTTGCACTCACTGGAAATTGTATACTTGGCGCAGATACTGATTTCTCTGTGTGCGGTTCTGGTGAGGTGCCCAAAGGTACCTTCTGTAGCCTACATGTATCACAACCTGCTTAATGCCCTGTGCAAGCTTTCATACCAATATGATTTTTTGTATGATTACTTACAGTTTTGGACTGCTGCCAAATTAGAAGTAAATTTTGCTTTGACACAGATGCAGTGACCAGCTGTTATGCTGTATTATATGGAGAGGAATAAGGGGAGCACACAAATAACAGCGATTATTCAGGGTATGACTTTTGAAAAGGAACATGGGAACATGCCTTATTAGTGATCAAGACCAGTCAGACTGTGGGTGGGGGATGGATAAAACACATCCTGGCAATAACATGCCCATGCCAGCCAGAAGAGATTGGCATGAACGTACAGTAAAGTTTTTTTCTCTGGCACAATTCTGGTCACCTTAAAGTACACCTTGGAGGGAAAGGCCAGTGTAAAGCAGATTCCCTTTAATCCTGCAAATTCTGTTGAATGTATTCCTATACTATATCTCCACAGCTAGTTTTCAGCATTATGCTATACCCCATTCAGCATTAGGCAGTGGGCTGTGCCAGTCACCTTCCTGCAGTCACTCCATTACTGGTTTTCTTAAGTGTCAGTGCAGCTTCATTCCATAAACAACTTGTGCCTCCTAGATGTGCTGGATTACAACTCCCATCAGCTGCAGATAGCAGAGTTAATTAATCTGGGTGGTGGGAGTTGTAACCCAAAGCTTCTGGAGAGTTCCAGGTTTGAGAAATCTTCCATAATCAGTCCTGACAGTAAATATATCTCCTCCACCACTAATATCTGCCACAGCTCCATGGGATCTGCTGTGTCCATTATAATTCTCAGCCTGTACCGATACATTGGTGTAATCAAAGCAGTTTCCATCCTTGTGAAGTACAGCACTCCTCTGCATACTCTTGATCAGTTTGTTACAAAGGAGTTGGGTGGTATTGCCACAGGCGCCCCAGTGTGGGTGGTCTACTATAAAAGTAAAAATCTTAGTTTGCTTACAGTTGTAGTGGAGATTCTGTTGTCTTCAGCACTCAGAGATGGTGTCCTACCCACAAACTGAAGTCAGATTAGAATTCACATGCAGGTGCCTCAGAGCCCCTACTGGGACTATTTTTCCATGTAGACAAGGCCATATATGGAACTTCCTCATGCCTCTATGTGCTACCTCCTTGTTTCCCTGAATCGGAACCTTAAACTTGGTCTAGGTAGTGGGCACCATTAGTCTCACCCTTCAAAAGGACTGAATAAATGTGCCCATTTAAAACTATAAGCCACTTAGAGATTCTGGTTGGAATACTTAGTGTCATACAAGTTAAATAAATGAAATGCTAGCTCATGCCTACTTCCCTTGATAGTGCAGTCCTTTCTCACTGATTGGCTGCCCCAACTAACAGATGATTTAGGCAACCAGAATGGTGTTATTCATGCCAAGGTCTCAGAAGACACTGGTCAAATCTCCAGTCCCAGAATAATTGGGATGATTTGAGTTCACAACAAGCTGGCAGAAACCCTGTGCCTGAAGCCTGGTCTTTTCTCCAAGCAGTGTCTTTGCTCCTGGTTATTTTTCATGAAGTAAAATTGAGTATGGGCTTGCCAGCAGTTTGTACCAAACCGGTAAACTGCCACTATCGCATGGTAGCTATGATGGCTAACTGTAGCTATTTTGCAGGATCATTTGTCTTGGGCTATACAGCTGTGCCCAAGCAAACAAATTCTTAATAGTGCTTCATGGATTCCCACATGTCTCCAGTTACAGTATTACGGGTTATTTCACCTGGTGATTTAAAACAGCTTTAACTCTGTATCAGTCTTGGATGAAGTCCTGCAGGCAAGCTTGGAAAGACAGAGTGCACCGTTCTCTAAAACATACAACTTTTCTTCCTCTCCTTTGCTGTGTGCCGCTCTGTCTCTATTTGTCTTATTATAGGAAATCGCTGTTGGCCTTGGAGTACTTTTGCAATGTGAAATGTTTTTCTGCAGTCATTATAAATGCATTTATTACCTAAAAAGCTTTTCATAAATCAAGGTAGCTTGTCTTGTGGGAGAATATTTCACTCATATTGTGAAGCAGTTCAGATGACCAGCTTACAATGTGGAAAGTCTCCATACAAAGTGATGTAAAAACAGCTTCCACTTGGCGGTTGTCAGCAGTGGGTCACATCTTGGAGAGGATAGATCTGAATATAATAACTTTGTTCACAAACAGGAGTGCTGCTAAGTTTCCATGTTTTAAAGGTTTATTGTTTGTGTATTCACACTGAAGGGGCAATTAAGTTCAAACATGATAAATAGATGACATTCTTGTTTGAGCTCCATCCTTGCTGCTAGAGGGCACTAAAGTACAGCATTTTGGTTACAGGGATAAAACAAAGTATTTCCCAAAAGTTAAACATTATGTCTCAAGTTTCAGGAAACCAAAATAAAAGGGCTAATGTCTGTCATTTTCCTTTCTGAATGTGAATTTGTCTTAAAAAACTGAATGTTCCAAATTAAAATGCAACAGTAGTGCTGTCATCTCAGCTTCTGAAAAATGATTACAGAAGTGTTTAAGCAACTTGATATTTCTTTCCTTACTAAATGTAAAAGGAAATGAGGATACTTTCTTCAAATGAGTTACTGATACCTGATTGCAATTAGAAAAATACATTTATTGGAATTATATCAAAATATTTGCATGTTAATGGAGCTCGTCACACAGTTGATATGTTACATATTCGAGTGCAAATCTGAGCAACCGACACCACAATTGTTACAGACTTTGGTTGCAAATAAAAATGTAAGCAAGAAATGTTTTTGAATAAATATCTTTGAAAGAGAGGATTATGGGGAGATTAGGGCAGTATGCTAGCATGATCTAATTTTAATTTAACTCTGGAGGAAAGCTGTTTTGGGTTGACCCTATGCTAGACGGTTTATTAAAATAGAAAGTATGAAGAGATGTAACACAAAGGAATCTGTCCAAACTGGAAGCTGTTGATAAAATAGCAAATGAGATTATTATACTGAGATTAAAAAGTTTGTTCATTGCTGCAAAAACTACAGACTGCATTTGTGGGAGCTGACAGTATTTGACCAAGAAAAGAATCTTGCTGATGGGGAGGGGGTTGGGGCAAAGAGCTTGATTTATGTGTTAATCCATTGTGTGGCTGCTGACAAAAAGCCAGATTCCATGTTGATCATTAGGGAAAGGATAGAACATAAACAGTTAGTGCCATGATACCTTAATATAAATATCTTCTGCAACAGACACGCCATACTGTGTGCTTCCCCGCTCAACATGCCACAGATGAGTAATATAGAGCTCTTTCGAGTTTAGACGATGCTTTCAGAAAAAGGCAACCACAGTGATCACACTTCTCTGTGAGCACAAGCTAACACATTTTGGGTTTTTTTTTTTTTTAAGTTTAGGAAAAGGGATTAAGGAATGACATTAAAAAGGTATTAAACTATACTGGATTTGGTGAATATGAGTAGGGAGGGGTTTTGCTCCCTGACTTCTGACTTCTCTTATTCAAATGCAGGCCATTCTACAAAACAGAGTGGTAGAAATTCAGAAATGATAAATAGATGCCTTACTTCACTTAGCAAATTGCTGAATTATGGAATTTGATACCACAGGATGTAGTGATAGTCACCAGCTTGGCTAGCTTTAAAAATGGAATTAGATAGTTTCATGAAGAGTAAAAGTTGTCAATGACTACCAGTTACAGTGACCCTCTATTACTTGTAGTTTACTTCCAGTTTTGATGCTTCATGATTCTGTATTCCATGTCCCGAGAAATGCAAGCTTCATGGTCCTATTGCATTCATGTCCCATTGGTGGGATTCCCATAGACATCTGGTTGCCTTTGGTGGGAACATAATGCTGGACTACTTAGGACTTTGGTCTGATCCAGCAAGACTGCTCTTTTATAAAGAACCTTTACATAATCTAAAAGTAATTTTTCTCAGGGAGCTTCCTGGAGCTTAGTCTGAAAGCTCAGATATTGATATTAAGTAGAGGAGTTTCTCATTGAGAATACATCTGTGTCTACAACAGGAAAGGGTAAACAGAAGATAGATTATGATCTGCTGGTAGAAATCTGATGATCTACAGTAGGCAGACAAGGATTTCTGAATGCCAGTTGTTTAGCAATGTCAAACAGTAAACTTACTATTCTGTGTCCTAAATTTTAGTCCTGAAGTGAAGATGTAAGCATGAGTAGGTTTTTGCACAGAAGGACTGGGTGCTCCATTAAATTCACTTAAATTCAGAACCCTGGAATTGGTTTTTTCTATTCAAGCATTCTGTATCTGTGCAGAGTAAATACATGAGGAGCAGGGAGTGCCCTAGTCCTGCTTCCTCTCCACAGGTTTCTATCACTCTGTACTCATGGAAGATAACTTTCTGAAGTGAAGAGCCTTCCTCTATCTGTCATATGACTGACAGTGCACCTTGCTTTCCCTGCATCATAGTATATTAGCAGCCACAAAATCACATTGTATTCAATTGTCTGGGTACAAAAAGCCAGGCATGTAGAAGTTGAAGTCCTTTAGATGAAACCAATACAGTTACAGTCTGGGTGGATTCTTTTTATCTCTTTCTACCTAGCAGCTTGTGAACATAGTTACTTCTGTAGTCTGGATACTTATGCCTTCTGCTTCAGATAATAAAGTGAGTTTTATTATGCATATGCATCCAGGCACTTTCTGTTCTCTAACAGTAAAGGCAATTGTATTTGCATGCCCTAAGCTTTCATCCCAACCTTTTACAGAGGAACAGAGCGGCCCCTCTGTATACTAGAATACTGTCGTGTGCTGGTAACTCTCATAAATATTTAACCTTACTGAGCTATTTCTGCTTATTATCCCTTTCTTTATATCTTGGAATAGCCCAGTTTCTATGGAAACCTACTCTTTAACCAAAAAGAAGCTTAATTCTAGTTTTATTCTCCTTATTATTTTTCTTAGGACATGGACTCTGTGTGGGACCCCAGAGTACCTTGCTCCAGAAGTCATCCAGAGCAAAGGTCATGGACGAGCAGTGGACTGGTGGGCTCTGGGCATTCTGGTATTTGAAATGTTGTCTGGGTAAGTTTTGGGGCAGTGTGTTCATTGAAGTGCAAATGTTCTGTCATTTCTCACAAATATGGAAAATCTAATTCTGTAACTTAATTGTCTCCAAATATTCCTTTCGTGTAGAGAAACGGTTTTGGAGACAGAATGAAACTGTTCTGCACAGTCTCAAAGCACATAACCATGCAGAAAGGCTGTCTTCTAAAGATGAGAATAGAGTATAAGCCTTTGCTTTCTGATGAGAAAATTGTGCCCTTTAAACATTTTCCTGGCCTCTTGAGAGTGGAGTTCCATGAGTGGCTCCATGCAACATCTCAGTGTATGAGCCTTTCCTGTATAAGTGGTTCCATCATCCAAGCCAGATGTCATCAGGAAAGGTCCATGCAATCAGATCCTCCCACATAGTTGGCCCGTTTAGGTAACAGTCACAACAACATGGCAGCCAATGATGGGTAAGTGGGCAAATGTTTCCACTGGGGGAATACTTCAGGGGCAGCAATACCACTTATTATCCTAAGAGAATTCAATACTGAAGGCTTCTCTTGTTTTCCAGTAATTTTCAAATCTTGTTTTTAAATGTTTCTCAGTAGAGTTCAGGTTTTCAACCTTAAATTGTTTACTTTTTAAACTTTGTTAATTTAAAACAATAAAACTTAAAGAGGCTCTGAAGTTTAGCCTAAAACCTTCACATAGTCAGGAGTGTTTCATGTGAATAAAACAAAATGAAAGAAAAAGAAAAACCAAAATATTGTCCTTAACTTGCCTAAATAGGTTCTCAGTGGAGTAATTTATGTGTGTCATGCCTATCTACCACATCAACAATACAGAAAGAGATTACTGAGACTTCATTCAGTGGCATGCCAGTTTGTGAAATGTGCACTCATGAGTCTTATTTCCACTAGTGGACACCCAGGGATGTCCTATCAGAACCCCACCCAATTTAAAAAGAACCATGCTCTAAGGTTGCCGGTGGAGGGAAGACAGAGTGCAATGGTAAATGAAGGTGCATCTGATGTTTATATTACAACATATCATGTTCACTGTACAGTAGAAACTCTCTAGTTGTTGTTTTTTGGTGGCCTTGTTGGGTATGGTACAAATTTTAACTTTGCACTGACTTTTGTGTTCTCTCTGTGTGAGAGAGAATTAAAATTCAGTATCTCATAAATCCAAGAATAACTTTGCTCCACTAGATGGCAGCATCACAGAATAACATGATTTAACAAAAAAAGTTCCTATTACATCTTACTGACAATGAAATGGTTGCTTGAAGTCATTCAAAACTTTGAAGTTTATGCTTTATGTTATCTTGTGTCCAGCTAACTATGCATACTTGCACAATGAAACCGAACGTATGAATTCCTGCATAGTTGAGTAATGCCATTGCAAAAGGACAACTGTTGAATCAGGTGATTGCTGTAGCAGATTTACAAATTTTGAGCTTTACAGCATCTTTTTATAGTTGTCATTTTAAGTATTTCATTATATTAATTCTGTACATGGATAACTTATTTGTAAACCACCTTGAAAACACCTTATTGCATAATGGCTCTTACCTTTTCACACTAAATATGCAAACAAATGTCCCATCCATATCAAGAATTTCCACCAGAGAAAATTATTCACTAGTTTACAGACCTCTCTAGACCACATATAGATAGCTGCTTCTGAGCATGTCCCTGTCCCTGTGGAAGCTAATGCCCCACCAGATTTGCTGCGATTGTACTGGGGAAGATGGTGAGGGTCACTGCCTGCATGCCACTACTCATTTAGATTGTGTGCCTCCTTCACCCTGCATCTGGTTAGCATGGAAAGAGGAGATACAGAACAAGGTGGAATAGGTATGTGTGTAGAAGAGGAATTCTGCCTTTGGCTTTGCCCACTCCTAAACCAGGACCACCCAGACTGAGGTCAAATGAATCCCAGGAAAGTCATTACTGAGGTCAGATGGATCCCAGTGAAATCATACTGTTGAACATTTGTGGAAGTTAATGGACCTTGTCGTGATTTCAGTGGAATGTAATTTCAGCTAACTTAGTCTAGACTCAACACATTTCATTTTTGAAATGAAATGTAGTTAACAATGGCTCCAGCTAAATAAAAAACGTATTGAGAATTACTGTATAATATCACAGTGGAGCTACTATACAAGGTTTGTGCACCTCTGTGCAAACTCTCACAAGTCTTCAGTATTCCTTGCATGCTTCTTCTCCATTCTGTCACCTGGAGGTAACTAGTAAGGCATTTATAATGTGAAACTGTGTCCTAAATGCATGCATCAAATTTTATTCAAATACTTTAATGTTCAAGGGTGTCTTACAGACAGTATAACTGATAGCATTGCTTTACTCAATTATAAGCACAGAAATTGCATCAGAAACCACACAATTCTGGTCTGAAATATTAATACTCTGCATTTGAATAATAAGTATTCCATATGTTTCTAATAGACTCATATTATTTAATAATCCATCTAAAATTGAGAGCCTGGGAATGCAAGACAAAATTGATAAACTGTTGTCTTAGATTTAATTATTTTTACTGGCTTTATCTTTCTTGTAGAACTCTCCTTAAAAACATAAAAAGAAAATTGACCAACATGTGGTTTGGTACTATCAAAGGACTTCCTGCAGAAACACTCCTATGAAACTTATAAAAATCAGCTGGACAAGTTTGTAAAGATAGAAGCAATTTCCTAAGAATTATTTTTAACATGCACACAAGAAGTTGTATAACAAAATATGCATTCAGAATAATGATACTAAAGACTTTTTAAAAGCTGGATGAACACATATCTTACTATGAATTAAGTTTAATGAATATGAAAAGTTTGTTTAACAGAAACTTTTATTAAAGAGAATTCTACTACCACATTAACTCATATGGCTCATTGCTGAGGTCAGCAGAATGCACATTAAAAAACCAAATTCTGAACTCCCACTGAGCTTGATATGGAACTTGTATGACAAAGGAAATCATCATTTAAAGGAACAATAAACCAGAGGAACTTGTTAATATCTGGAGAATTTCATTACAAAAGGGAAATATTTTATGTGGATGGAAGGTACAGGATAAGCCAAGAAGCAACTTTCTGCATCCTTGAGAGATGCATCTGAGAGACGTGGACTCCAGTCCAAAGTGTCGATGACTAGGTCTAGGTATTTTATGTCTAGATATTGAAATGTTCCAGCAGCCTTTTTTCTCTAAAGTTACAACAACAAAAATAAATTTTAAAAACCTGATTTGTCAGGTAGGTGTCTAATTACTGCAAAAAGTAACCCAAGAATTGTTTCCAACTTTAACTCCATGACTCCAACTCCACAGCCCTCCAATAGAGTTCAGGGCATTACATACTAGTGTTGATATATTGGTCCAAAGCACTTATCTTGACTTCAGCAATATTGTATAGTTTATGAACAAGTAATTGCACCCAAATATTTTCACAGAAGATAGCAAGTCAATATTTCTGTAAGCTGCTTATGGACCTTTTAAGTATTTGGCAGCTTATAAATGAAAATATAAATTCATATTTTTATGATATAGTTGTGTTGTTTTTGTTATATACTTTTATTATAGGCTATAGTAGGTTCTAAACCATGCAGATCCTATGGGAATGGGAAAGTATATAAAATCAGTAATAAATCAATGCTCTTCTGTGCATTTTTCACAACTTCTAACCTTATAGCTATATGGTAATTTGCATTCCATCTTCCCCAAATAGATTTCCTCCATTCTTTGATGACAACCCATTTGGAATATATCAGAAGATTCTTGCTGGTAAAATAGATTTCCCCAGGCATTTGGATTTATATGTAAAGTAAGTGCAACGACTTTCATCAAGGGCTTATTTTCTTTAGGTGCCACTTCAGCATTAAATGCAAACCGTACGGCATGAAATCATAGCCATGGTCAGTGATGTAGTATGCAGCTGGTGCTTTATGGATTCTGGGGAGATTTTTTCTCCTGTTAAGAAGTACACCTGGTACTGTCTTAAGCTTCTTGCATCATGCTCCTTCTTAAACCCAGATAGCAGTATAAGCAGCATAGGACAAATTGGAATAACGAATGAACATTATAAACATGTTATCTGCAGATGCACATGAACTAACTTACTTGGTGCCCACATTCTCCCATTCCATCTAGTAAATTGACTGCAGTGTTCACCTATAGCAATAGATGTGTTCTACATCAGCAACAGAAATTACGGGTATTTATGTCATTGTTTCCTACCTATCACTTATTTTGTGATGGAGAGGTAGATAGCTTTGATTCCTTACTATTTTTGAAAATTATGTAAGTTTTACATATGGCATTTGCTCTATCCTCCATTCACCCTTTTTTCTTTTTCCAGCTTTCTCTGATGTGTTAGACTATAGCCCTCATCACACCTAGCCATTGGCCATGTAGAGAGTTAGGGAGCTGCAGTCTAATGGTCTGGAGGAGATAGCTCCAGAAAGGCTGGCTCAGGCTTTATTACAACTTGAACAAGCATTCAAGTGAACCACATGCACTTGATCCAAAATTAATTTACCCTGTAAAGGCAACAGAACTATCATGACGTAAGCATTGGTGTAGTTTTATGATTGTAAACCAACTCACAGGCACTTGCTGCTTGACTGATATACACATATAATAAAGTAAGTATATTCCTTGCATGGGGTTGCTTGATCTGTGCTGGTTTCCTCATTTACTTGAAACTTGAATGACTAAATAAAAGCATAACCCATTTTCAGACCATTGTGGTAATTGTGAACTATTGACCTATATATGCATCATAATGTCACTGTATTTCAAATTGTATTTTGGGTTTCCCTATTTGTAAGAGAGATGTCATATATTCCCAACAAAAAAGAAAGTTTGTTGGAAATATATAAACAACAAATATGTAGCATCTGTTTCTAGGACTCAAGTATTAGCAGCAGACCTTTCTCTCTGTCTGCTGTGAATATTACCACGAGAACTTCTCAGAGTAGCAATGAGTGAACCAACCTTAAATTATGAACATTTAAAAATGCAGATGCATCTGTTTGCTTTTTTGGAACTGTAGTCTGGATTTTCTAAATAGAATTTACTTAAAGTATTGCAAGGCACATCTATGAACAATTTACCATTTTAAAATCCCACTTTTGTCTTTAGTTCAGAAGCTACTTACAGTGATTGTTATTTAATATTTCTGGAAAACATAACTACATTGGGGACATGTGCAACCCATATAAAAGTCTAGTTGATGTCAAAGAATCTCTTAACAGCATCATGAATGCTTGATTAAACAGTGTGCAGTTGAACCAAGTCCTCCAGGCAGTAGGCCTGGGATGCTGTATCACTTGACAAGCTCCCTGCCAAATAAATCATAACAAAAACAGACTAGAAATTCTTTAGTTTGGCACCTTTCTTACCATGCAAGGATGCTATAGGTTGACAGTGTCCTCTGCATGATGTGAGTATCTTCCTTTAACTGGTTATGCTTGATTAAACAGTGTGCAGTTGAACCAAGTCCTCCAGGCAGTAGGCCTGGGATGCTGTATCACTTGACAAGCTCCCTGCCAAATAAATCATAACAAAAACAGACTAGAAATTCTTTAGTTTGGCACCTTTCTTACCATGCAAGGATGCTATAGGTTGACAGTGTCCTCTGCATGATGTGAGTATCTTCCTTTAACTGGTTAATATAGTTGAGCACACTTTGAACAATGCTTTTATTTTTAAATGCTTGCTATTTTCCCTTCTTTCCTTATCATATTCCTCAACGAATTCTTACCTAGAGTCAGGTTAATGAGTGGTGACAGCTTTAAAAGAAGGATGCAGGATATATTGCCAGGGTTGTTGCTGGAACAGTTGTTACTCAGCCATCACAGTAATGTTCAGTTAATGCTACTGGCCCTGTCTAAGTAAATTATCTGCTATCCCATCACAGTGTGAGAGAAAGCAATGGTGAAAGGCTTTTCTCACTGATACCATCAACATGAATTGAACCTTAGTGGCTATTTCAGAACAGATACTTAATTTACATAGTTCTGGCATATATTAAATTCCTGACAACTTGAATATATTGTATATGCTAAGACTTTTAAGCACTTTATTTTAATCAGAGCTGAGAAAAAATTTGATTAGGTCTGTTTTCCATATTAGAATTTGCATGTTTAACCAGCAGTTACACAAATCACTTCGAAATCAACAGTTTATCTGCTTCCTGTTCAACTGTTGGATGCTAATTATAGTTCAACGTTGCATGAAAGCCTTCTTTTTTAAGCTTCCAAAACTGTCCAATTCTTGAGCTAGTCCAGAGGGCACAGCTCAAGGAAACTTATACTTACAGGAAGCAAGAGAAATCTAAAAACTCTTAGTTTCCAAAGAGCCAAGCTAAAGCATGGGCAGAATCACCTTAGATTACAGGTTTCATACCTTGGCTTTAGCTTAGTCAGGTTGGAGAGCTTCCCTAAGCATATCCAGGCCAGATACGTTTGCAGATTGCATGAACTGTAGATCTTCTTTGTAGATTAGATCAGGGACTACGAAATTCCTTGAAGCCATAGATATTCATCTTTTGGAGTTCTTTTGTACACTTTTGCTACTGTCCAAAACTCAGTAGAAAAATAGTTAATTTTTTATGGGTCAGTTGAAGTACACCCGAGTAGACTTTCCTTATTAGTATTATTATGAAAGCAAACAAAAATGAAGACTGTTTTGACTTAGCTTTAATTCTAATTGTTTTTAAAGGGAACCAATAGCAGAGATTAAGGAAGGAAGAAACACTGTGACTAAGAAGTAATAAAACTAAACAGACTGAGCCAGTGGCCACTGTATATTTAATATACATTTTGGAAAATTCAACGAATTAAACTGGAATGTTGACAAAATGATTTGAGTGGGTCTGCAAAAACATCCGTACATGGCAAAACATGCGCTTGCTTTGCTACTTGATTTATAGTTACCATGCCATTGTATTACTTGCTGTTACTTTTGTTATGTGCCATCAAGTTGTCTTATAGCAACCCTATGAATGAAAGCCTTTCAGAATGTCCTATCCATGACATTCTCAAATTATGTAGAAAGGTAGATTGATTCCTCATTTCATGCTCTCCTCCAGTTCAACCAAACTAGAATTGACTTGTTATACACAATCTATATTCAGTCAAAATAGAATGACTACATTAAAATGTTCTACTTTGAAAGACAACTGATTCATTTCTTACCTGTACAGGGACCTGATTAAAAAGCTTCTTGTGGTTGACAGAACCAGACGGCTAGGGAACATGAAGGTATGCTTTAATTATTAAAAATATATTTAAATCTCTACTCATTCAGGCCATTGGATAATTATATTATTTGGCTTCAGTTTACAAAAATGCTTTCTGTTAAGAGCACTTTAGGAGTTGAAAAAAAAATCTTATGAAGATTTCCATAATTCTGGGAAAATGTATTTATATGAACCCTGAGTAAATTATTTTTTTGCAACTGATAAGACATCTGGCAAAACAGCAGTGCCAGTTTAAATATAAAATGGAGATGTGTTCAAATTCATGTGGTGCTAGTTGCAATAACATGCCCCCAGTGGCTGGGATATTATAAGGTCTGGAAATTTTTATCTTTGTAATGAAACTATAGGTGGGCTTCTTTTCTGAATAAAGCAGTTTTTCTACTTAAGCTATCATTTTTGTCCACAACACCATTGATAGAAATCTTCAACAGGTAGAGAAGTAAAATAATTTGTTTTTGGATAAAATGATGGGAAACAAGTCAAATATTAATAATCCTATTAGAACAGTATTCCTCTTTCAGCCTTCAGCTGTCTAAATCACTACAAAATTGCACAGATATGAGCAAGTCAAGCCATTTGACCCCTCTTCTTGTATTAAGAGGAAATAATATTTAAAATATATTTAACAAAGATTTATTAAAGCACTTGGAGTGACACTGTAGTGTACTAGGTGGTGGAAATTTGGATCCTTGCTAAGCCACATAACTTGGAAATTCCCTTTGAATTCTACAGCAGGCACCTAAAAGGCCATATGAGTTGTGCATTGTTCCCAAAAAACATCCAAAGGGGAATTCATGGTGATCTGTATCACTTGTGTCAATTAGGGACGGAGTTAGGATATTTCACCAGCAATCCCTTTTGAATGTTTTCTTCTTCTGGATCAAAGTAGTTCCCGAAATCCAGTGAGACACTGGGCATTTGTTTTTCAAACAGCAACATTCCATAGTAAACCATTTTCAAATCTGGGAAAACTTTCAGATGCTTATAATCTAAAATGATGGATGGGCTGCTACAAGGATACCATTTTAGCTCTCAGCCCTGATCTCGCAGTGTTACCCGATTTAAAAAGACAAAATAGCTGGATTGTATCCAGTATGGACAAGGGTGATTTGTGAATAATATCAAAATTGGTATGAAAGACACGACTGTGAAATCCATATTTGAGACATATTTGGATGTGCATTAGATGCATGGAATGTGCTTTCAAAATAGATGTGAGAGAAACCATACTGAATCACTGCAGCTTACTGGGTTTGTGCTATAAGGTATTTTTGCGCTTTCTGGCACTAAATTCATTTTTTCCCCAAAAAAGAATGGAGCTGATGATGTGAAGAGACACCGGTGGTTCAGGTCTGTAGACTGGGATGCAGTACCACAAAGAAAATTGAAGGTAAAGTGCACAAAAATATTCCTCTTTAAGAATAAATTCATCATGCATTTGTTTATTTCAGTCATTTGCATTGTACAAAATGCAGTTTCAAAGATGATCATACAATTACAGTATACAGTGATGGTTGTTCAGTATAAGTTCCTTGTATTAAAGCACAAAGTTTTCATGCAGAGCTTTATAAACTGTATTAGAATGATAATGTGTAACAATGAATGATGGGGTTGATAATTCAAGCAGTTCTAGCAGCCTTCTCCAGCTGGGGCCATCCAGATAAGGTGCACTAAAATTCCCATCATTCCCAGATAATTCTGGCTAGAAGTTGTAGTAGTTCAACAAATCTAGAAGATCCCAGCTTGATGAAGGAGGCCTTTTCAGTGGCTACCGCCAGCCAGTGGAACTCCTACCCAGGAAAAGCTAGGTTCATGGCCTCCGTGATGTCTTTCTGCCAGCATTTATTCATGTCAGTCTGTCTGTCTTTCTTTCAATTCAGCCACCTATAGTGCCGAAGGTATCAAATGATGGTGATACATCTAATTTTGAAGCTTATCCTGAAGATGACTGGAACAAAACACCTCCTGTACCTCCTAAAGATTTAGAGATTTTCAAAAATTTTTAAAGTGGAACACAAAACATTAAGGTATTAGGCCTCTATCAGCACTATTTTTTCATCTATTTTATAAAAATTGATATTATGTTTTATTTGTAGAATTAAAGCACAAGTATGTTACAGCAGATAGTATTTCTGAATATCTTCTCTGGTCTTTTTATAGAATCATATTCTATAGAATCCTTTTTTGTTTGGTTTAAAAATTAAGGAAGGAATGTCTTGAGATCATTTAAAGGCCTTAAATTCCTTAAAGAAATGTTACAACAATACTAATAATCCTTTTGCATTATTTTGGCTACTGTGAACAAAGAAAGGGTGAGACATCATGTACAGGTTTGATAAGGTGTGAATTCAACAGACTGGCTTTTCTTTTATAATATAAATTAGTTATCATGATGAATTATCAAAAATTGAATACTTATTTTTATTTATTTGCTAGAAACTGGAAGAAGATTTTGATACTGGGCAACTGAAAAGAAGAGCAGAAAATATTACTGAAGAATTCTTTTGAAATGAATAACAAAATGTTACTGGGTTATGCATAGTATTTAAAGAAATAATGTTAAAAATAGGGAAAGGGACAATACTCATGTTTAGTTGTACAGATTTGGAATTAGTTCAGTAAACTAAAATACTGAAACACCTACCCTGAGATGTAGACATTCAAATTTCTTAGTTTTTTTAAATTAAAATTATTTTAGTATTGTTTCTTGCTATGCCCAAACCTCTTTTGCATAGTTATCTCATAGACTAACTTTATAAGTTTATACTAAAATTGTCATTTAAAGCACAAATTAGTGTATATGTATATAATGAAATCAATACATTTAAAGCACAGAAACTGTGCAAAAATGTAAATTTTGTACTTTACAGAGTCTATGGTTTTTATTCTGAAGTTTTTTTCAAGATGCTCTCTGGAAGTTAAAAAGAATCTTGAAATGATAAATAGGTTTTTCAGCATCTTCTATACATTTTATAATTATTTGTAAAAAGAAATATACACATAAATTTTTAGAAAATGTTAACATTTCCAGCCATACTACTTGAAACTAAAAGATAAAAGGCCTTGCTGGATGTCTTATTTTTTTCTTTCGATCACATCATACTTTCTTTAGGAAGTTGAGCTAATACAATGTGTTTGTACATTGTATTTCTTTCCAGGATTCATAACATGCTTATTTTTAAGTATAAGAAATCATGGCAAAGTATATCTTGCAGCACCTGTTGATAGTAAGGGTAGAGTCTAATACTTGACTCTACATTTCCTTAAAATTGTTGCACGTGCAGGGACCTGAAAGTCATCTAAATCAGCCACCTTTCATAAGTCCAGATTTCTATATGCATGTCCATCACGGAATAACTGCAATTTTAACAGATGGCCTGACGTGTGAAGCCATTAGCAAATAATCAAGTTCCACAACCAGAGATTGCATGTTAACTGACAGCAATTCAGAGATGCTATATTTGCATTCCGCTATGACTTCACTAAAGCTGTTGCTTTATGGTGTCATCAAGTGATAACATGCATATGTAAATTACTGCTGAAGCAGGATCACCTCCATATTATTAAAATTATTCATACAATTTATACTGCCAGAATAAATAAGAAAATGTAGAATGTAACACTTGGAACTAGGAGTATACATTTATCGGATCCCAAGATTAAGCTAGAGATTGTTGATATTTGCTGTTTAAATTGAGCAGCACTGCTACAACTTGAATTTTCTAGCCTTACAGGTAGTCTCTCTGTGTACTTCCTAAATTGATTTTAAAATGTTTATTGGAACAGCCAGTATAGCCATTGATGAGAGATGCTGGAGCAATAGGACAAAACATCTGAAGGGATACCACTGGCCCATCACTGCTGTAAAGGAAGATCCTTCTAATAGAATTTGTTCATCTGAGCAGTTTACATTATTGGAACCATGCAAATTAACCAAGTAGATGCACTGAGGCAGCCTATGTAATATGTCGCAATCTGTCCGTCCATAAATGTATATACTTTGAACTTCATTATATTAGTGCACATTTAAAAATGCCAAGGTAGTGCTTCCAGCAAGTGTTCTCCAGTAACATTCTCAAGCAAGAGCTACTTAGATTAGAAATAAAGGTATAGTGAGTCACTAGTATTCTAGTGCTGTTGATAATTGATTTTAATTAAACACAGTGGGTTGAACACCCACCAGAGGAACAGAAACTGCTAGCAAAATGGATCTTGCCTATCTCCAGGCTGCTATCCTGACTTTTCAACAGCTATTAGATCAGCTTTCTATTTCCATTGAGAAGCAGTGATGCACTTCAGTAAAGGCTGCTAGGAATTACTGAACTAGCATGCTTAATTATTATACATACTGCAACTTCAGAAATTCATTTAGTTGCCAAGCCACTGAAACTGAACTAATTTCAGTTAGTATCCAATTGTTGACATTTCCTTTTTACCTGTTATTAAAGTTGAACCACAGAATAGAGGTTTTCATTTGGCAAATTAATGATGCATGGAAATCAATTATGGATGGTATATGCAATCTAATGCAGAAAGAAACTTAGACTTTTGTTGGATGAGAGGTACATTTTAGAATATAGCTTTCCTAGCATAATGTAGTAATATAAAGAAGCTGATGTGATTCAACTTTTCACAAAGCACTCATCATGCCAAGCAAGTGCTGATGAAGTTAGACATCTCTGTTGCAGTTAATTTATCAGTACACCAGTAACCTGGAAATGGCAGTAGGAGAAAGGTGCGTTAAGGAAGGGGACTATCAACTAGTGCTACTATCTCTGGATTGGATCCAAAATAAATTAGTTGATCTTAGATCTCATTGAAACAAATGAAAGAAATCATTCAGACTTGATACAGTTTCCAGTAAAATCAACTGTATTAACCAAATGGGGCTGGTCCTGCAAGGCAGCTTGCTGTTTGTGGAAACCCCAGCTTGCATGTGGCTTGGCCTTTTCCCTGTCTGGCTTTCAAGTGTCAATTTATATAATATACCTTTAATTTTTGTCCAATTTTGTACTCCTGTCCTGTTTCTAAATATCAGGTGCCCTGCCTGAAATTCTTATATCAGTATCTGACAAAAATAAATACACAGAGAAGAAAATTAGGCCGTTATTCCATTTCTGGAATCATTTGAAAATATTTAACTGCTGAACTTGCTTATCTTTTTTATTTTTTATTTTTGCTATCTCATAGTTTCAGTTTCAAGAGTCTGAAATCATAGTTTTAATAACTACTGTTATTTGTAATTATTTTGCCTTACAACAGACTTTAGCACACCGGCAATATGCTTTAGGTGGTACAGAGGTACAGGGCCCTTTCCCACTACCATAAAAGTAATGTTTCTCATGGAATGTTGCATACAAACACTTGATCTGTATCTTTCAAAACCTGGGAATGACACCATATGAGGCATTTGCCATGCATGAAACACACAGCAATTGTGCATTTGAGAATGAGCAGCCACAATGAATAAGTGCCCAAACTTCATTAAGAAGTTAATTTGTACTTGTACTTCTGCTATGTCATACAGCCTGTGCATAAGGGCACAATTTGGTTGGGAGTTTATAGAATAAAGCATCTAATAAACCGTCACAATAAATCAACAGTACAGATCAGGTCCATAAAAAGACATTCCAATACTAAAAATAGGATGCCCCAGTTCCTACTGATTTGTTTTTATTGGAATTCAACCTTCATTACCATGGCTATTTTATAGTGGTTTGGTTGTTTAAGTAACTTCTAATAGGACTCCCTTTTTCACTTTTTTTTTTTTTTTTTTTTGCTTGTTATGGACCAATAGATAAAGCCAAAATAATTCTTCTCTAGGTCCTTTCTAAACTGCCCTCTATAAAGTTGTTATGTGGCTCACTGACATAATTTAGTGATCAGATCCGATACCACATAGCTTGAAATGAGGCCAATGCATAGATTATCCTGTAAATTTGCTTAATTAAATTGAAGCGTGTGCTGTTAAGTTTTAACCAAGGTGATCTGCTGTAGAAGAGAAATTCTAATATATCAAAATGTAGGTACTAAACTATGTTTAACCAGATGAACAGATCTTGTAAAGCAAATAGGAGGTGGAATATAGCAAGCCAATCATCTTGCCATACAGGAGAATTAAAAGTTCTGTGCTTCCTATATTACAGAATTTTTCAGCTTTCAAGAACTGTAGCATGATTTCTTTGTACTGTACTGTGTACAGATTTACTATGTTTTGCACTTTTCTATGGCAAACATGACAGCTTTATAAATATTCTGTTGTACAGTAAATAAGGGATAGTTACATCTATGTACAAAACAAAACCAAATTGAACAGATATGATCTCCGAGGCAGACTTGGACTGATGTCAGAGAAGTTGCTTGTTAGTTCTAACTTATATGTGTAATAAGTACTGTACAAATACATTCATCAGCCCTCATTGCACAATGAAAATCACTGTGATCTGTAAATAAAACTTAGTCCAAAAATACGTCTGTTGAATGTTATATTGTCATAAGCTTATGTAAGATTCTGAGAAAATTATACTTAACATTTAAAACTTCTTGTTGATATGCAGTTTGATTGATTGGATGAAGGTGCTGTACTTACCTCTGGCAGAAGAAAATGTCTTCAAGTATTTTACATTTCAATCCCTCACAGAGATGGTGCTTTACTTCTTTTCAAAAGACGAACATGTCCCTCTCATTTTATTTCTAATGTAGAGATTTGTTCTCATTTGTTTGTGCTTAGCTAGGTAGATAGCAGTGTGCCTTTTCTGTCAGACTCTTCCTGTTGGTTATTTTTGACAAAACCATGAGTGTTCACAGCAACACACAGTAGAAAACGGTGCCACTGTTTGTGCTGCTTAATGAATCCTTCCCAAATCACAAGGCAGTTACTATGCCAAATCAACATATTCCATATAGATATGTCCACAAGTCATCTGGACCGCCACTGACCTAAAATGACTGATGTAATGGAGGATGCCACTCCTAGGTGGGCAACATGATTGCCAAAAGATCAGGAGAGCCACATTGTTGTTCCTTATTGACTATGCTAGGCTTGTAGCAGCACAGTTGACCGTCCCTGTTCTGGAAGCATGGTAGCACTGGGGAACACATGACACTCCAATTGCTGATGAACTACAATCCTGCCATCATTAGCAGAGCATAGCTAATGATGATGGATGATGGTACCTATAGTCCAATCACAACTGGAGGGCCTACACTTATCCATCACTGAGTTAGAGAAAATAGATTGATTTTCTGTCAGTGTTATGAAATCAGAACTTGTGATTTTCTTTTAAAATCTGTATGAAACCGAATGACAATGTTTAAATAAACGTTCATTAAATATCAAGGTAATAATCAAAGGGGAGGAGCTCTCAAAGTATATGCTAAATTAGTGCCAATTCTACCATATTTAATGCTGCCTTTTATTTTGCCTTTTTGTAAATCTTTTTTCCTAGAAAACAATTTGAATAATTACCATGAATCTATTATTGTCAACTTAAGCTTGCCAGCTCAAGTAGAATAGTTTGCATTACCAACTTAGAATCATAGTATATTTCTTTAGCAGTCCAGGAACTGATGGCATGGTGGAATGTTTACTTGAATATGAGCAGTTCTAGTCCCAAGTTTTTGAGTAAAACACTCTTCCTCAGTAAGTCTACATTCTCACCATTTCACTAGTTTCTGTTGCTCCTCACTTTAATCCCCTTTCTCTTTTTTGTTCTACTTGATTGCTTAATCCACTAAGTCATTGAGTAAGAAAGCAACGGCAACTGTTGTTGTTCTTCACCACAACTGTTTATGTATTAGATATATATCCCATCTTTTTTTTTCTTTTAAAGAACTGAGATCAGCTTACATCATCATTCCCCTTCTGCTCTCAATTTTATTCTCACAATAACAACCCTGGGAAGTAAGTTGGGCTGAGAGTCTGTGACTGGCCCAGGTAAAAGGGTTTCAGTGGTAAGGAAGAACAGCTTGAAGAGACTTTTGTCAGTGGGCCTGGGATATAGAAATAGTGGGTTCAAACCACTACTCAGCTATGGAAGCTATTCCAAGCCAGTTCTTGAAATAGTTTTAAAGTGTCACTATGTACACCTTGTAGAAAGGACAGGAGGTGTGTGTAATCATGCATTTGGTTTCAAAAAGTGAAGGTTGTCACAATTGGACAACTGGAAATACATGTTATTTTGCACCCTTTCAAAATAATTATTTGAAATTTTACCAACCCATGGTTTTGACAAACTGTGGGGGTTTCCAAGCAGCAAAATGTATGAATTGTGTTGGATATTCTCTACAATGTGGGCCTCAAGCCTAACTTTAGGAGATTCATTGTGTGTTTGGCATGAAGATCAATATGGCTCCTCCCTCAACTGTTAGCACCAACAACCTTTCCTTCAAGCCAGCTCATCTCATCTGCTTTATTAAAACGAGTCTTCCCTGCCCCAGTTTCATCCATCTTTATTGGCCAGGTTCATACTGGGATGTCTTGTTGTATGAAGCCAACCAGAATGATTAAGTCATGCAGCGGTTCAGACCACATGACAAAATACATCATGACTTACCATGCTGAGTGAACTCAGTAATTTTTGTGCGTCACATTATCAAATTGTTAGCCAGGACTCTCTTGTTTCATGCACCTATAATCCTGCCTGGAAGCCTTTTTGAGGAGCAACGTTAAAATTCTGCAAATAAATAGATCTTTCCTTTCTTTCCTTTCTCTCATTCCTTCATTCAGTCATTGACCAGCCAATAAAACACAAAATGACACTTAGTTAAAAATAAGAAATATCCAATACTGATAAAATTACAATAATTAAAATAAGTAAAAACATTCTGGTAGAACCTAACAACATTAAGGGTTAATTCTACCGTGCACTGTACAAACTGCTGAACAATATTTGGCTGTAGTCAAGGAGATAAAGTCGGATTGATCAGATAAAAGTAACTTAAGGTAAAAAGAATTGGAGTAACTGGGATATTTTGAAAAGAGTGGGGATAACAGTTCCTGGTGAGCACCTGTAGAGAGGGCAGTAAAGAATAACATACTCCAGTGATTCAATTATTTCTCCCCCACATAGGCAGAGTCTCTGTTCAAGGGGTGTTTTTTATATCTCCCTTCAGTAATAGCTGTTGGGAAGGCATTGAATCTGGCTGGAGATAAAGCCCTTCTAAATTTGGGGATAGTTATGCTGCTGAGATATCTAGCTGGTTGCAAAAGATGTGTGGTATGGTTCAGGAAGGTATTTCTGGATAAAACTGGATAATCTGTAGCTCTAGATCAATGGCCCACTATTTAAGTTCTGCTAACACCCATTCATAGCCCATCGAGGAGATAGCTGGTCATGAATAACCATATAATAGCCATTTGGCCTGTATTGCATGGCTCTGTGAGCTGTCGGTCATTATTAGAGGGACTAAGCCAGATGGAAAAAAGAGGAGCTTAAGCCAGTAAGAAAAGATGTGAATCCAGGCCAACGTTTCAATTTTAAGACGGCCAGATACATGTTGCAGTACCATGATTGAGATGCAGCATGGTGCTTGGAAGATAGTCGTCAGGAACTTAGACTGAAATCTTTCCAAAGGAAGAAAAGACCTGTAGGGTCCCAATTGGGCTCCAATCAAGAGCTGGCCTTGAATCTTAGTTGAGAAGACTTTAATTGCTGTGGGTATATATTGTACACCTTTAGAAAATTAAAAGTTTGTAAGTTTGACACTGTTTTTGTACATTTAAGATGACATATTCAGCATGAAATTTGCAGTTATCTGTAACATGAAAGACAATCTCCAGATATTTGAAGGATGTGACTTGCTCAATTAGATGGTTATTAAGTCGCAAAACATGCATCTTAGGGCACTTGGCAAAAACCACAACTTTGGTTTTAGAGTAATTAATTTCTAAACCATCTTTCTGGCAATGCTCAGCTAACACATGGAGTGCCCATCTCAGGTCAATCTGTGTTTGAGAAAGTAGCACAGCATCATCTACATATAAAAGAGCAGAGATGTGTCTATTTCCCAGTTTCAGTGGATGAAGGGAAGGGCTGTTGAGTTTGTCAATAAAAGCATAGGGGCAATAAAAGCATACATCCTTGTCTCACTCCCCTCTTAACTGGAATTTCTTTAGTGCATTGTCCTTGGACTTGCAACACACCTTCATCCTAGAATTCTCATATAATTTATATATAAGCACAAGTAATCTTTTGTCGAATGAAGAAGAGTTCAGTTTCTCTCAGAGTTTGGAGCTGGAGATGAGGTCAAAAGCACATCTATATAGGCATAATTCCTCTAATTCTGGATACAGTCATTCCCCATGAATTTCTGTGATCCTTTTAGATAAGATATTATATATGAAGAGCTCTGAATATTTAATGCTGATATTTAGCATTAATGTGGTCAGTAAGGTTTAACTTAAAGCATATCTGCATTTTTAGACAGATTTAAGGATAAGAAAGGCATTTGTTCGTCTTTGTTACTCTATGCTCACTAATTTCTGTTTAATATTTACACTAATGGAAGTTCGTTCTGTTCCATTGGCATCCACTTTGACTAAACAATAAATTGTGTAAAGTCACATTTATGAAGGTTACATTAAAAAAAACATACATCCAATACTGGGAGTAAAAAATATAGAAGTAGCTTAGTATCACATGGTCAGAGAATTAATATTGATTAGATTGTATTCATATTAGATCATGAGGAATAGCAAATGTTAAAGTGTCTTTCTTTCCCAAACTTAACAAAGATGAATTCATAAAATCTACAGCGATGGAAAAACTGATTATTGGTAAGATAGGAAACAATATGGTTTTTGTCAAAACCTTTATCCATTATTTTATAATTAGGTAGAACAGAAAGAAAGGGCAACTTTTGGCTGCTTTCCTCCTGTGCATCTTTTTCAAAGACATTATCAAAATGTCTTTCTGCAGAATATTTGATATTCCAGCTTTGACCCTACCTGGACAGCCAGAGCCAAGGTACAATTATCCAGGCTGTAGTAAACTATCATCTGGATTAATGCAATGTGCTGTACATGAACATGCTTTTGAAAAGACAAAATGAAAAGGAAAATGATCCAGAGGTTTCAACTGGTCCAAAACAGGGCAACATGATGGTTAATGAAAATATACTATGCAAGTTCTCCTCCAGCTGATCTGGAATGTATTAACATTCAAAGCTCTAAACAGCTTGGGGCCAGGTTAGCTGAAGGAACACCTCATCCTATAAGGATGACCTTAAGATCATCTTTGGGGGTCCTTCCGCAGGAACCCCCTCCAAAGGAAGTAAGGAGGTCAGCTACCAGGAGAAAGACCTCGTTGGTTGTGGCACCCTGCCTATGGAATGAGCTTCCCAAAGAGGTGCACTTACTCTTTTTTAAGTGCTAGACAAAACCCTTTTTATTTCCCCATTATTTGAACAGTTAACTTTTAAAATTTAGTTCTAATATCTCATTTTAGCCTGTACCACTGCTTATACCACT